TAAGTTTTAAATATAGTCGGTCAGTTTAAAACACTTCTCAAAGGTGTTTAAACGGGCGCTCAGGCTGTCATTTCCCCTCTGGGAATCAGGTGTGTCCCTCTTGAGTCACCAGGCAGTGAGTGCCTTCTTCCCTTTGAAGATGGAGTGTGGGATGTGCCCCAGTTTCCCGGGCAGAACCGGAGATGCCTCAGCACATCTCAGTGCGCACCATAGGGCTTGAGCCCAGTTATGTTACCCAAACGGCCGTGGCTGTGTAGGGCACGGTTTTCTTTTTATTTGTGGAGTTTATTGTTCTCTAGTATAAAGCACAGGCAGATGGAATGGCTACATGTTATTATTTCATGTTTACTTGAGATTATCTTCAAATATCATAGAAAACTATTCCCCCTTTTTAAAAATTGAATTAAAATTTCCAGATATAACTTTTGTTGTAAAAATTGTTCTGGAAGTGTTGTCTTCATAAAATACAATTATGAGTATTTGAGAACTGCCCTCATATGATACTGTTTACATGTACATTAAAACTTTAGTGTAAGTTTATTGTTTCTATACTGTTATTGTGGAGGGCCTTATCATTTCCTGTGTCAAGTTTTTATCTGAAAGTAAGTGAGTCTGGATTCTGGTTGTTCTTAGCATGTCTGTAGCGAGGCTCACTGGTGTCGGTCTCCCTTGCACAATCAGTTCAGGAGGGAGGTTGTGTCTTTGGACCTAATTAGATACCGCATGGTAGGTTCCTGGGGAATTGAGAGTGGGGATCTTTCTTCAGTGGATACTGGTCTGGGCTACTGTGTCCTTGTGTGAGGTGTCGGATATGCTCAGGGCCCCTTGGACGACTGCATGGAGGGGACCAAAGCCAGCATGCTTAGCAGAAGAGTAGATGCGGGAGACGATTCCTGATTCCTGGAGGGAGATGTTGAGTGAAACAGCCCCTCCTTACTGAATCTACATCAGCTCTCTGCTTATGAGGGTTCACCTGTTCCTTGTTATTATGTACCCTGTTGTTGAACTCTGTACTAGGGTCATTTACTATCCTGTTAATTGGAGGAGCAATAATTACCCACAGGAAACCTTCAAGATTGGGTCTTTTGACCCTCAAAGGAGGAGTCCCAACCATTCCACCCTGCAACTCTGGGTATTTCTGTCCCAGCCACATAAATTTTTGGGAGTGGAGGTTTGGAGGTTGACTGAAAAAGGAACTTTGCCAAGTGCAGCTATGGAAAGCAAGATAATTATGAAATTTAATAAACCATCTTGGTGAAAGATTGGCTATATATGGGGACCAGGGGGAGAGGAAAGGTATGAATGATTGCCGTATTTTGGTTTGTGTGTCTTTAGAGAGGATGCTGTCACGGTAGTTGTTAAGGGCTATAACTCAGGCAACAACTTCAGTTACAATCATGCTAAATGCAAGGCATTAGGCTATTCAGAACGTTATATGGGAAAGTAAGATATATATATATATATATATATATATATATATATATATATATATATATATATATGACTCCACACAACTGAGCTGAAAGAAGCCGGAATGTGTAAAGCTGAAGTCATTGGTGTCGGTTAGATTTCCTATGCAGAACAGGAAAGCGGGAAGTGCGGAGCTTCTGAAGGTGCTTGCGTTTGCTCTGGAGGAGGTGGGGGGAGGGCGAGAGGAGAAGTAGGTTACAGGAATGATGCGTTGTTTCATCTTCCAGTCTCTGTAAAGCGGTCCTCTGACCACTGCCATTGTGGACTTTAGAGATTTTAAAAGTAGATGGTGTTGTTTCATCTCGGATGCTGCCATGGGTTGAGTGGACCACCCATCCGATCCTAGCAGTCACTCTTCCCTTTCGCAAGAATGGCCTCTTTACGAGGCTGTAAGTCAGTGCTTCTCAACCTGTGGGTCACGCCCCTTTGGGTTGCACGTCAGACGTCCTGCATATCAGATATTTATAGTACGATTCATAACAGTAGCAAAATCACAACAAGAAGGAGCAACAAAATAATTTTATGGTGACCACATCATGAGGAACTGCGCTAGAGCATGGCTGCAATAGGAAGGTTGAGGACCACTGCTGTAAAGGAGCCACGTTCTGTGGGGCAAACATCAAGGAAAGAAGCTTCTATGAGTTATTTCCGATCATTAATATGGTAGTTACATGTCTTATTTTGGAGCATGTGCAAAAGATCCATTATTGACCATTGGTACTTTGATTTGGATAATTTCATATTCTAGTCCATTCTTTTTGTTACCTGTGTTTATCTTTGACATGTGTTAGCAATTATGATCATTTTGTGAGAGAATAGTGCATTCTTTTTAGAAATATTCTGAAACTCAAATTTTCCTTGGTTAAAGGAATTTCTGTAGAAATAAAATCCTTTAGTAACACAGGAAAGGTATCTTTTATTTGAGGTCAGCAGTATGGCAAGCTGAACTATCCTGATAGTGCATATCTAGAAGTAACTGTGTGCGTGTGTGTGTGAGTGCATGTGAGTGTGTGTGTGCGTGCCTGTGTGTGTGAGTGTGTGCATGTGTGTGTGCGTGTGTGTGCGTGCGTGTGTGTGCGTGCGTGTGAGTGCGTGAGTGTGTGTGAGAGTGTCTGTGTGTGTGAGTGTGAGTGTGTGAGTGTGAGTATGAGTGGTGCGTGTGTGAGTGTGCACGCACGTGTGCATGTGAGTGTGAGTGAGTGTGTGTGTGCCTGTGTGTGTTTGTGTGCATGTGTGTGAGTGTGTGCGTGTGCGTGTGTGTGAGTGAGTGTGTGTGTGTGTGTGTGTGTGTGTGTGTGAAAGAGAGACAGATGAAAGACAAAGAGAGAAGCAGAGAGACAAACGGGGAGAATGTGAATATAAAACCTCACTGTTAATTCTAACATATGTAGAAGTATAATTTTATTCATCACTGTTACTAAGATGATTCCGGGAACAAATGCTTCTGGAATGCTTTTTTCCCCCTCTCATTACCCACCCCTAAAATAACTTTAGTTTACATTGCACCTGTAATTAGGGAAGAAAGGGAGTCCTAGCAACTAGGAGGACTTCAGCTCTTGATCTTTGTGCTTCCTGCTTATTCTGTCAGTGACAGCAGGGCTTCTCTGTCACCGACATAAGCTGAGAGGAGGGCTTTCTCTCTCTCTCTCTCTCTCTCTCTTGCTCTCTCTCTCTATATATACTGTTTATGCACTTGTCTATAGACCTGCTGGCTGGCTGAATTTTAAAGAGTGAAGAGGTTTAAAGACTTGTCCCCTGAGGGATGCTGCTGCCAGTTGGGGAGCGAGCTGAGGCTGCTTTGCAGAAGTGTGTTGCATGCATGTTGCTTATGGAAGGGGGGGGGGTTGGTGGTGTTCCTGAAAGATTAAGCAACTAAGTGAGAGGCTTCTCCCTTAATTTGAGCATTAAAATTGATGTGAAATATGCAGCGAATTTGCATACATTCAGAGGTAGACATTGACTTTGGGTGCTTTTTTATTGTTTCTGAATTACGTGGGCAGTTTCGAAAGAGTTTAATCGCACTACCCTTCACAGGTGAAGTGAGTAACGTGGTAAATGACTTCGTGTCATACGACACCAGATAGCAATTAAGCAGCAGTCAAGAGAAAACAGCTGTCCTCCTTCTTAACGGGCTGCTCTTCAGCCATTTATTTCATGTCTAGTGGCTTCCTTAATTACACTTAGCAAAAATGTTACAAAGAGTAAGAGAACTTTCCCTAAAACTTTTAATGGCACACATTCATAAGCAAGCCCGCATACCTGCCCTGAGGCTAGAATGCTTTTTCTTTTTTTCTTAGTGTGATGCTTTTCTTTATGTTTCTGTGAGTTAGTTCTCCTGAAGCTTTCTTAGGTATTGCTATTGGATTTCTACAGTGTTTTAATTTAAACTGATAATTTCCATATATATGTGTGTATATATATATATATACATATATATATGGATAATTTCTCTCTCTATCTATCTAATTAAGTAATTCACTTAAAATACCTAGTACTCTATTTCTGCTGAAGGCTTATGCATTTGAATCTGTGTGATTGTACTGGGGGTCAGTTTTTCTGGTAAAAGTGTCCGTGGAAGTGACTGCTTCCTTAAGAATTTGCTCCTTTGTTCTTAACAGGCATTGTCTTTCGTCTCTCCTCCTTTATGAGATCACCTGACTAATTTCTATGATGTCTGTACTGAGGGCTGAAACTTTAGGTTCGAAGTTAAACTTGAGTGTCTTGCTCAGCTACATCAAAATGCCTTTTATTTATTTATTTATTTATTTTTTATTTTTCCAACTCTCAGACAATTGTTTGCATTTTATTGTAATGTAATAAGTACTATCTCTGGATTTTTAATGACTTTATAGTCTGTTTTACTAAAACATTGTCTTGAATATTTAGTTACTTAATCTAATGTTCAACTATATTATAATAGAGACTTATGTTAAGATACACATTTAAGAGGGCTATCTGAAATAAATTTAGTACCAAATGTTTGAACGTGTGAATGTATATTTTAGAGTCTATACAAAGTCCTTTAATTAAAAAGAAAACATTTGGGCATGGTACATTCAGAGTTGTTATACTTCTCAGTAATTCATTCTGCTGCCAACTTCATCCCCTTTTCTCTGTCTGCATTTTAATTGAAACAACATTTATATTTCTGAGCCAGAATCTGTGAAAAGTCCCTGTGGCTAGCCTGTGGTACAAGTAGCAGCAGACACAGCTTGCCCATATGGTGCAGGGCCTCTTGTGAGATCCATATGGCCTTGTTGAAGGGGATCCCAGCGGGGATGCGGAGGGTGTTAATACCCTTCAGGCCAGGCCTTTCCCTCCTGGGGCTCCCAGGCATTGTCAGTACAATCTGCCAAAGCACACACTTAATTCCTTTTTAATAATCAATTATTTTAGTCTGAGAACCTGCGCCTTTGTCTTAAAAATACTTCACCCGCCCCTTGAAAATGTCTCAAAAAAAAAAAAAAAAGTTTGAACTGCATTTAAAAACCATTCTAAAGCATCCCTTTATTTTGAATTTGCATTTGTAGGAAGTACTGCAGAGCGTGCCCAAGTTCTGTTTTCCGTTTGACGTGGAAAGGTACAGTATAAGCTGATAACTAAGATAACTTTATACCTTCTTAGCACACATTTCAAAATGATTAAATGTACATTTTAAGAAAATGACATGTATCTTCCCTTTTTTATTTTTATTTTTATTTTCTATTCAAACAAGCACCGGAGACGAGAGGTTCGGAATTAGATAATCAGATGGTGTCTATCTAATTATTCTTTTACTTCCTCCTGCATGGCCAGTGAGGCGGCCTTAAAATATGCTGGCCACGGGTTATGTTTCTTCTTTTTATTCTTCAGGTATAGACTATAAGCACTAGCAGAAGAACATGCCATTGGTCTTTGACCAGGGCCTTCAGATGGTCTTTTAAAACTAGATGTGTGTCCCTTGCTTACAATCCCAGCTCATCCTAATTGGAAGAGCATCTGTGTGATGCTGTGAACTCACTGTCAGCACAACAGCACCTTACTAAAACTCCACTGTGTTTACATTTCACTGTAAATACTAAATGAACTTCTTGTATGTAGTTGGTATTTAGTATGATAGATGTGTCTGGAAATATTGATGTTTATTGTTTTACATATGGTCAATCACCGTTACTAGTTTTATTTGTAGATTGTGAAGTGGCCTAGTAGTATGCTAGTTGATACTAATAAGTATTGCTGATGAAAATTGTTTTCTTATCTTACTTGTGGAGAATTAATGGTTCTGTCTTACTCCAACATTATAGTATTAAATCAAAAGTAAGAATGAAATAAAGGAAGGACAATTACAAGAGGATATTATAAATCTTGAACAATAGAACATACATTAATTGCTAGAGGATTTACTTGAAGTTAATAAAACTAGAAAATTCCCTGTCCACTTAAATGTGTACTTACCCTGGTCATTTAGATGTGTACTTGTTTAATAACTGGTGTTTTGTGACAAACTAATTTGCTGCTTAGAACACTGGTAGTTATTGTTTCAACTTTTCAAAATCCATATGACTACTTAAAAACAAAAAATTCTATGTCATCAGTATTTTATTTTGGGACAAAGAACCTCAAGTTTTATTTTGGTTTCATGAACCAGTATATGGAAGTGTGTTGACACATTTTAAACCGAGGTAAGCATTCTGTCTAGTAACTCCCGTCATCCCTCGTGCTGAAGTGGGGGATGTCATTGGGTTCTATACAATTTACTTTGAAATCGGTAAAACTCATAACCGAGTAGGCTTCTTTAGTAGGAAGTATTTTCTTTTAAGTTGGTGTTTGGTTCTGCAGGATATTGATAATTCTAAATGGCAGTGCAAAAAAACCAACAAACAAAAAAAAAAAAAAACAAAACAAAACAAAAACCCAAAAACCAGTAGTGCTTGGTGTGATGTAATTCAAATTCATTGGGTGAGAATGTCAACAGAAGGATCAGTTCAGCATGGTGGAGGTCACCATCACAGGATGAAGCAACATGGTTTGCTAGCCAAGCGGTTGAAGTTTGGGAAGAGTAGAACACCTTGGAGAAGAAACAGACTAGAAATAAGTGTAGAGATTGAATCTATTGATTTTTCTGCAAAGTGCGTGACCATGGCTCTTACCTCATGATGTATTTTATTGGTAACTCACTCTTCTGGAAATGTAGGATAAGGGTTGACTTCTAAGATAGGCGTTTGATTGTGAAAATGTAGGGTAAGGTTTGACTTCTAAGTGAGGCATTCGATTTTGTTGCCATGCTCCACCCATGAGCTGCTGGAGCTTATTGTGGTGCTGGAACTTGTGACTCATGAGTTGGTTGAGTTGTTTAGCAGATTCATGACCCTTTATTTATAGGACATTGTTCCAGCTTCTAGAAGGTGAATCCAGTGTAAATACTAGTCAAAGCCTTTGTAGCCTCAAGAAAATGAGCACAGATTTAATGCTATGATGTTGTTATGTCTTAGAGCCTCTCAGAATCAAGTTGGACAGCACTTTACCTTCGTACTGACAGACATTGAAAGTAAGCAGAGATTTGGGTTCTGCAGACTCACATCAGGAGGCAGTATTTGTTTATGTATCCTTAGGTGAGTAATTGTAATCAAAACTTGGCTATAAAATAAATCATTTTGCTTTTCTGCCTTATTGTGCTTGGGATTTAAAAGAAAATCAAAACGAAGTAACTTTATAATTTGTTTACTTTCTTTACTTGTTCAGTCTAAATCCAAGTAACTGAGAAATAATCTCCACACACAAAATAAATTGTTTACCAATAATATTAGAAATTTACTTAAAGGTAAGGTGTTGTGGATTTATCACTGGAAATTAAACATTAATATGTGAGTTGTGATATGTATAAATAGGATGACATTTAATAAGGTTAATATATGATCTTTTCTGTCATTGCTGCATGTGGTTTTTTGTTTGTTTGTTTGTTTGTTTGTTTTTTCTTTTTTGTTTTTGTGACTGAATTTCTGTTTTAAGGCAAAGATTGCAAACTTGTAGTTGGAAAAAGAGTTCCAGAGTTTTGTTAGGCCACCGGGTATTTTAAAAAAGTTTAAAAGATGTTGTTAACCTTATATATTTTAGGGAGTTTAATAAAATTTATACTCGTAATTCCTTTTGAGAAATGGGGATATCTGCTAACTGCAGGTCCTGCCTATCCCAGTAGAAACAATAGGCTGGAAATAAATAGGGTTTAATTATTTGATGATCTTGCTAGATTTCATAGTCCCCTCCTGAGAAGGACAGGGGTCTGAGTTGTTGGCAGCTGAGAAAGAAGCGTTAGAGAAACTTAGAGTTTCTGTGAGATGTCATGGTGAACAAAGAATACAGACGTAGCCTACACAAGGTAGAATTCTTTTCTATCATTATATAATAAATACTGGCAATTCTAGACTCAATAAAATGATTGTAGAATAATAACGTTCAATTTTCAGAACAACATATGAAGAAAACCTTGTATATATTAGTTACTTTTCTATTGCTGTTGTTCAACACCATGACCAAGGCAACTTACAGGAGGAAGGGTTTGTTTTGATCTTATGGTTTTGAAAAGCTAAGGGTCCATCATGATCATCATAGCAGGCAGCAGGCATCATGGTAGCAGGGGCAGCTGACAGCTCTCATTCCAAACCATAACCAGGAAGTCAGAGAGACAACTCAAAATGGAGCAAATGTTTTTTTTAACCATCAAAGCTGGTTGGTGAGAAACTTTCTTCAGCAAGGCACACCTCCCAAAACTACTAAGACACACACCAACTGGAGATCAAGTAAGTATTCAAATGCCTGAACTATGGGTGCACCTTATTCAAACCAGGGCACCTTGGTGTAAAACATACGGCTTCTCTGTTTATTTGCTGTTGAGCTGTATTTGCCAGTCTCTGAAAGGCATGCACAGTAGCAGTGCCTACAATAGTAGTAATCGAAAATTTGCAATTTTGCAAATTTGAGGCTACTCTCTGCTATATAGTGAGATCTGGGATTTAATAAAAATACTCCAAGCAAATGTTGGAGCTGGATAAGTTTTTTCTTTATTTGAATCAAAATGGATAACTATTTTACAATAAATGTGCTTTTCATTGAGGGATCACTTTTTTTTTATTCTTTGTGATAATTATATTTAAAACTTAAGTTTTGCCAAAAAGAACCTTAGGTTTCAAAGTATAGGTTGATTTTTTTTTTCCAGTCCTGTATGGCCTGAAACTCATTATGTAGAATAGGCTGTCTTCAAACTCATAGTGATGAGCCTACAATGCCATAACTCTTGTTCATGTGTTGAAACTTTTAGCTGGAGAAGATTAGGTAGTGGGGTGGAGTTGGAGTTTTGGGGTTTTAGTAGAGAGAGTCTCTTTTATCCTATTTTGAAAGCTAACATTTAAAAGAGAGGACATTTTTGTGTACTCTAATAATTAGATTTTTTCCCTGTGAAAAACCAAGACAATAAGCACTTTGTAATTTTTCTATGAATTTTTGAAAAATTTCAATAAATATCCAGATTTCTGGAAGAGTTCCGGGAGGGTAGTGAACTGCTGAGCATATATCCTTCCAATTCTTCAATTACACCATCTCTCTCTCCTCATACCTTCTCTTTCTCTCTGTTTCCCCAGTATTTTTAATGACTCATTAGAGAATAAGTTATAGACATCATGTTTTAGATTTGAGTGTGCATCATTCTAATTGATTTCCAGATATGATTTATAATTAAAGAGTTTGAACTGTTTCCTATTTTAATCTCAAAATATTTTGAATATATTGAACCTGTCAGTAAGCCAAAATAATTATTGTATACGCACGTTAGTTTGTTAAGTTTCTTGTAGTTTTTAAAATTGGGAAGGCGACCATTATTTCAAAACATTTGTGTAAAACATGAAATATACTTCTTGTTCAATGATTTATGTGTATATATGTGTGTTTGTCTGTAAGCCAGCTGTCATTAATTTGTAGAAGTTATTGTGTTGACTCAAACGTAGGCATTTTCTAGAACAGCTGAATGCTTTTTGGACCTCTGGGTTAGAAATAGTTTTATCTGCAAAAGTGATTATATTATGTGAGTGTAATAAATTGAAAGTAAAAACATATGCTAATAAGATAGCCTCTTATAGTATCGTTGGTTATTGGGTTTTTTAATTAATTGGGTCTTCTGTAGTTAGTCTCTTTTAGGTTGATAGTGAATCATGAGGTTAACAGATAGAATGAGACATGCCGAGGAAGCTTTTAAACTGAACTCCTTGTTTCCTCCGGGATTAGGAAAGTGTTGGGGCTTGATGGGATGTGTCCGTCCTTGTCCAGCAAAGTCAGGGCACTTTTAGTGTTAGTCATCCCTCCTCACATTTCCTCCTCGGCTCTGCCCTCCTGTCCCCACCCACTTGATCCCTTCTGTTCCATTATTCCTCTTCCCCTCTGTCTCCTGTCTCCTTCTCCCACGTGGTTTTTCTAATTTCTACGACTAGTCCCAATGAAATGTGCATGCCTAAGTTTTACATCTACTCTGCACACATGAGATAAAACATGAGACATGATTGTCTTAGTTTGGGTTTCTCTGGCTGTGACGAAACACCTTCAACAAAAAGCAAGCTGGGGAGGAGAGGGTTTGTTTGGCTCACACACCAGCATCACTGTCAGGACAGGAACTCAGACAGGGCAGGATCCTGGAGGTTGGAGGCCATGGAAGGGAGCTGCTTACTGGCTTGCTTCCTATGGGTTGCTCAGCCTGCTGTCTTATAGAACCCTGGACCACTAGCTTAGGGATGGCAGCACCCACCAATGGTGATGAGGTGGGTGATGAGGTGGGTAAGAAGTACCCACCCTTGGCTAGGGAGCTGTTGGTAATTTATAGCCTCCTGGACAGGGGAATTCAGTTTCCTTGAAGGGTCTGACTCCTGGTAGGTGTACCACTCTCTCCAAGGCAGACCACACCCCCAAGAATATGTAGGTGATATATACTGGACTGAATGGATGAGAGAGAGAGAGAAAGAGAGAGAGAGAGAGAGAGAGAGAGAGAGAGAGAGAGAGAGAGAGAGAGAGAGAGAAAAGAAAAAAAGAAGAAAGATCAGGATGTGAAATAATGGCCACTGAAAGAAAAATACCGTGCTGATGGGATGACCATGACAGCTAGGAATCCAGATATTAGTGAATTTCTCAGATTTCCATTTAAAATGGTCAACACGAGAAATGTTTATTGGTTGAAAAATGTGCTATATTATTTCTAAAACTTCTTATTACCTTGGAGAAATACTTGCTAGATTTTATACTTTTTTTGTTTTGTTTGTGATGTTCTGTTTTTCGAGACATGGTTTCCCTGTATTGCTTTGGAGCCTGTCTTGGAACTCAGTATGTAGACCAGGCTGGCTTCGAACTCACAGAGATGCACCTGCCTCTGCCTCCAGAGTGCTGGGACTAAAGGGGTGCGCCACCAATGCCCATCTTCAATTTTGTACTGTACATTTAGAATGTAGTAGAAAAAGTTCGAGATAATTTAGCCATTATACACATATATAATCATGTACACACTCAAAGCTCAGAATTAAATCGTGATTTTTGTGGGAATCTGCTGAGGAAGGGCTGTGAGAGTCTCTCCAGAGCGCCTCAGAATGTCTCTGCCTTCTCCATTTGTAGCAGGCCTCCTGGTCAGTGAGAAGGGAGCTGTCCTTCTGACTGTGACATGTTGGTTAGGCCGTTGGTTGTGATTGTGTACTTACTGCAGCAAAGACTTACTGAGGAACTGTGAGAGGGTTTTCACCGCAAGTCACAGATCCCCGAAAGTCTACAGAGGAAAACACAAACCATCGGTGTTTGTGACACAACACGCTTGCACTGAGACATTAACGTTTCAGTCTTGGGTTCTCATGACCAAAGGTCTATTTATGTATTTTTGTACAGTTTGTCAAGTTAAAGGCTTAACTACTGTCAGTGTTTATAATTTAAAACGTGCGTGGATATTTTTAAAATAGTTCACAAGCGTGACTATACTGTTCTCCTATGCAAGTGTCCAGAAGTACTGTCCATGGTTAACCTGACGATAGCTTTTATTCTCGCTTTCCTAATCAGTGGTACTGTGCATGTGCTACTAAAACCGTGTGTTGCTTTTCTCCTAGAATTATGTTATCACAGTATCTGTCAGTTAAGATGTTTTCAATTGCCATTTTTCTTATTTAACTTTTAGAAGAAAAATTATAGTGCAATGTAATATTAAAATTACATTTAATTTGAGGCTTGTGGTGTCTGAGTTCTTTCTCTCTGAAGTGTCTTTCCCGGTTTAGCAAGATTTCAAAGCTGTCCTAACTTAAGTCTTATTGCTTATGTTTAGAATTGCTTTCATATGCTAGCAAAGACTCTTCCACTCTAATTTCATTAACGTAGTTTTACAACTATAAAAATGTCGCCAAGGGTTCAAAATGAAATACTCTAATGAGGAAGGCAGATTTATGTTGGAGACCTTTGTAGCCCCCTTTGCTACCTGTAACTCACACCAAACTTGAAGGCTTCACATTCTTCCTTTGGACAAACCCCCTAGAAGCAGAATGTTTCAATTTTACACATTTTGTGTCAATTTTCTAGTGGACAAACAGCCTCTAGACGTGAGAGG